TCCGCCCACCTGGATAACCAGCTCCGTGCAGGGAATCGCTCTAGGCTTTGGGAGTCCAAGCTCGGTTCCACCTCCCACCCCTCCCCTGCAGACCCCGGCCCGGGGACGCGAGGCTCTGGAGATGGGCCCCCCTCCCGCCCCAGCGCCCTCTCATCCGCTCCCCCACTCCGCACGCCCCCGCCGCGTTTCTGGGAGCTCCTTCCCGCCCCTTCCCCTCCGCGAGAGCCGCAAGTCTGGGGAGATGACTGTCACTCGCCGCTTCGAGCCCTTGATCAGTATCGCAATCTGGGCGCCGCCGGAGTGGGTCCTGTTCCTCCGCGCTCGCTCCCCGGGGCGCCGCGCTCGCTCCCCGAGGCTTCGCACTCGCGGTCCCCGCGCTGTGCAGTCGGCCGTGCAGGCTCGCTCCTGCCGCGGGTCTGGCGACGCGATTCCGGCGCCTGGAGTTTAGGAAAGTCGCCAGACCTCACGTCCAGCGTTGCGGGCCGAAGTTCGGGGGCGGCAGGGGGCTGCCCGCGGCGCCGTGCTCGCGGGAAGGGCTGGAGGTCGAGAGCCGGGCCCGCGGCTAGCGACAGCCGCCACTTCCCAGTGCCCAGCGCTTCCCAAAGCGGTTCGGCTTTGCAGGGTGTGGGCACGTAAGCAGCAGCCGGAGGGGGAGGCGGGTGGGCCTCCGCGCCGCCGCCGGGGACCCCCGCATGGCTCTTGCCGGAGGACCCGGACTCGGCAGGATGGGCATGGACTGCCTGGGGCACAAACACAGACACCAGCTTGACTGGGTTCAGTGCATTAAAAAAAAAAAAAAAAAGAATTGAATGGAAGAGACGTGGGGATTGACTCGATTTCATTTTTCCATCAGTCATTAAACCAACTGAACGTATACCGACTCACAAAGTGGTTTTGAGTTAAACCACCAGATTTTAAAACGCAGCTGCTGCCAGTTCATCAGTTGAGAGGTTGCCAGTCACTGAGGCGTCTCTATGCCCCTCCCTCCTTCTCTCAAATATTTACAAGTCGTTTTTAAAAAATGACTGAGGGTTGGTCTGTTTGAACCCATATCCCCTTCACCACCCATTAACTGAGCACTGGGATTATTTTCCGGATGATCAAAGATACCGGGAGATGGAAGTCGGAAGCAAAACAACCAGAGAGGTTGAAAAGATGGCACTGAACGGCAATATTTTCCAAAAGGCTAGTTAGTGTGTACCGAGCCTTGGTCACAAATCTATTAGACTGAATTCAGTGTTTTAAATGGATTCAAAGGACTGAACTAAAGGGTTTTTTGTTTGTTTGTTTGTTTGTTTTTAAGTTTACTTAGTAATAGGTAAATGTTCTTTCTTTGGCTTTTCTTAGAATCTTGTGCAAATTGCTGCTTAGAATCATCATGTTTTCCTAAGAGAAAACATTTTTTTTCTGCTGCTGTTGTGTGTGTTTTTCCTACTAGATGGTGAAGTATGTACCCTTTATGTCTGGTCTAACGGACTCAGTAAGTGCTCAATAAATACCAATGAGCGAGAGGCAGTAAATGAATGGGCAGCTAATGTTGGTTTCAATTAAATAATTCTTTTTTTTCTTTTATTTTTGACCATGAACAACTTGGTGGGCATTGTTCTACCTGCTTTGCAAATGTTAAGTCATTTAGTCTTCGTAATAGCCGTAGGAAGTAGGAATTATTACTGAAGCACCAAGAGGCTCAGTAACTTGTTCAAGGTCATACACACAGCCAGTGAGTGGTGAAGCCAGAATTCAAACTTAGGCACTGTGACTCTAAGACTTTGTTTTGTTAGCTTTTACCAGAAAATCTTCTAAACCATCTAAATCTCACCCTAGACCTCTGCCAGATGAGAGTTCATGTAGTTTTGTCACTATAAAGTATGAATCTTGGGACGTTAATCCAAAACCCAGCCCTGTCCCCACCAAGTCGGCCAGAGTAGAGAAAGAATCCACTCTGGGGCCCTTATTATGAGCCTAGCACTGGTTACAGAGAACTGGGGGAGAGCATGGGGACAGCACGTGAGTGTGTGGGGCAAAGTGTGTGTGTGCATGAGAGGGTATGTGTGTGTGTGAATGAGGGAGAGATGATGTGTGTGTGCGAAGGAGGAGACAGGTGAAATATTGTCTCTACCCTCAGGCAAGGGGGGATCGGGCACCCCTGGGTCACCTTCCCAACCAGCCACAGCTCCTCCGATGGAGACCCAAGTGTAGCTCAAAACTGTGGGTTGCAGTGAGCGTGAAGGGCGAAGGCAAGGCCTACGTGGCTTAATACAGGAGAGAGTTCTGAGGAGAGAGCTAGTTTTATTGCTGTTATTATTAGGAAAGCAATCTAGCCACATTACACAAAGTTTGGAAACCAGAGGGAAAATTATTACAACCTCACCCTCTTAACACAGCTACTGTTATTTAAAATAGTCCCTGTAGGCCCTTTTACAAGTGCAGGTTTGGGCACTGCTGCGGCCATTGGGCACACCCTCTCACTTATTACGTTCTAGCTCAAGTCTGTCCCATGTTTTCCCAAGCCTTCGTAGGGAGATTGTCAATGTCTGCATATTCCCTGTGAATGGCTGTTCTTTGCATCCCTACATGGATGCACATTTGAGCCATTTCCTAATTATTTCTTTGACAAATAATATGAAGCTGAGTTTTGGAGGGGAGCATTGGCAGGAGGGATAATGAGGGTAGAAAAAAGTGAGCCCAGGGTGGGGCCATGGGCTGCCATAGGGTTTGGGGACAACTGGCCTGGCCACCTTCAGGAGCAAAGTAGGAGAGGGGGACTGACAGCCAGGCCAACCCGTTCAGATTTGATATGACCAGCCCTGGGAAGGGAATGACTTGGGTCAGTCCAGTTCTCAAGGAGGATACAGATGTATGGAAAAGTGGGACACTGACCTGGGGCCAGTGAGGATGAGCTCAAGTGGAAAATCCATTTCTCGCCCTCTCTAACATTTGGTTCCTTGGAGAGCATCAACAGCCAGTGAGATTCAGCTGCACAGAAGGAGTTTGGAGGGTCTAAGGTGCCCCTTGGCAGCACCCCAAGTACCTATGATGCTGGCCAAACCCTTGGGCCTAAGTGTTACTATCACGTGGCCTAGAAGGTAGAGGTTGGGCACAGGGCTGATCATCATTACAGCAGTTATTGGGGTGGGAAGACCATCAGCTTGGGAGGTGACAAAACTGACTTTGGTCCCAGCAATGCCTCTAATCGGCTGTGTGACCTCAGGTAGGTTGCCTTCCCTCTCTGAGTCACAATTTGTCTGAAAACAGGGGTATTGGACTAGATTCTCTCTTATCTTCAATGTCTCATGCCCACACATTCCTTGGAGTATGACCCCATGTAGGAAGAGTGGGGTGCAGCAGACTCAATTCCCAGTAATCTCTCTTCCCAACTGTGGAAACTTGGGACTTGGCACTTGGACCTGAGTACCCTCTCTGAGCTTCAGTGTCCCCAACTGTGAAATGGGGGCAATATCTAACTCATAAGGTTGAGGTAAGGATGAAAAACAAATTAATACGTAGAAAATGCTGGGAAGAGTGCCTGACACAGAATTTGCTTTCAGAAAAAGTTGCAAGGCATCTGCTCTTCAAAGGAAAGAAGATAATTCAAGAAAAGCAACAAGCAGCTCTTGGACATTCAACGTATAGCATTTCTGCATCTTTCGCCCTGCACAGCACTGGGCCTAATAATCACTGTACGTAGTAGGCATTTCCCAAAAGTTTGTTGACTGGATGGACAGAAGCATCATTTATTCTTCCAGTTTAATAGGGTACACCCGGAACAGGCTTGTTGCTTTTCTCATGAGATGCAGATGTCATGTCAAACAGAGAAGTCTGAGAGATGCCCAAACCACCCAGGCAGAAATATTTTCTCTGGTGCAGAAAAGGCTGGAACTGCCCCACTTTAAGCCCACTATTGTTCTTAAAAAAAAAAAAAAAAAGCAAGCAAGAAACAGCCCATGCAGCACCCCAGTGCTTTGGAGAATCAATTGAGGGTGGAGCCTTGGCTGGTGAAACTCAGGCCCCGTTGTCTAGAGGAGAGCAGGCTGGTGGCAAGTGACCTGGGGCCTTTCTTGTTTCCTCCTCTGTTAAAAGAGGGGTGGGTGATCTCTCCCGTCTCTGACTCTGCCCTAACTGTTCGTAGTACCAAAAGAGTAAGAGCGAGTCCAATTTGGAGCTCAGGCCAAGTGGCAATTTTAGCTACAGTGTTATAGTCAAAGAATGAATTTGTTAGAGACAAATGACTCCTGTATACTCAGATTCTCAGGGGGCCCCTGTCAACGGAGTTCCTTGGAAGTAACGCCATCTAGTCCTTTTCGAATGTTTGTCTTTGGACTTGTCGCTCTTGGCCAGCCATCCCTCAATCCACTCCATGCGGCGGTCAGCATCTCCTGTACAGATGAGAACGTCAGGTGAAGCAGACATGGGCTTGAATCCTGATCCTGGGCAAGTGAGGTTATCGCTCTGAACCTCAGGGGGAAAATAGTACCTACTTCATGAAATAATTATAACGACTTTATGAAATGTCATGTGTGAAATTAGGTACAGTTGCACAGTGTCTGGCACATAGTAATGCTTAATGAATATTAGCTATAGTAGCCATTTAATAAATCTTACCAGATTTTATCAATCCAAGGAAAACTATCAAAAGGAGGGGTGGTGAGGGGATGGGAGGTGGAGGAAGGAGTACTCCACAGTG